CTTCACCTCTCTGGGCCCTTGTATTGAGTTCTTTGAAAGAGGGATAATACTACAAGTCCACAACCCCTTATGCATAATTCTAAAATCCAAAAATGCCCTGAAAACCAAGTTTTTTCCGTAACTTATTTTGCAGCAAAACTTGGCCTGAACTGACATAAGGCTCTTCTGAGCCTTTATTAATGGAACTAACTCTAAGTCTTATAATAAAAATTTTATTTGTTTGATTACAAGATGCTCCCCCAGACCCCACTGGGTGTGTTAAATCATAGTATATGCACTTTTTTTAAACCAGAAAAACTCTGAATCCTCAAGGGTTAGGATAATTCATATTGTATCTTAGAGGGCTGTTGGGAGGATGAAATGAGAAAATGTGTGTGAAATAACTGGTATCGTACACAGTAAGGCCTTGGGGTAAATCGTAGATTCCATAAATAGACTGTGCCACCAGAGAATGTTCAGGAAATATGGTAGTGAACAATAACCATCTGTAGGCTGCTCCACATTAAGCTTTGGCTACCTTCTCAAAGATGGCTGGACCCCTTATAAGCTGCACAGTCAGTGCCTGCCTTGTAGGAAAGGGAGGCACTGTACACTCCTAAACAAGAGCTCTATCTGTCCTGGCCTGGGATGGAAACTTCCACCAGTTCCCAACACAGGGGCTTCTACTGTGGAGCAATCAGGGTCTCTCAATGAGGGTATTAAAGCCTCACCCACTCAGCCCTGCTTCATGAATACTGTGCTGACACAAATATTTTTGTCTAGGATTTTTCTTTGAGATGTTTGAAGATCATGTAGGCAGGGGGAAAGAAAGGCCCAGTAAACAATGTTTATAATACTATAATGATTACCTCATGTAGAACCTTGATCCAAGCTGATAACAGATGTTGAAACTCCCTGTCAATTTTATTTTTATAAGATGTGGGAACTATCACGTTTCCACATATTATAAAACATCAACAGACTCTACAAGTTATAGGATTCTAATTCTATATCTACACCTTCTCTCTAAGGTACCATCCCAATGGGCCAATTATCTAACTCGAAAGATCAATTCAACATCTAGTATGAAATCTGAAACTATTTCAAAATAACAAAGGGCTAAACTAATTATCACCTAGCTAACTGGCTTTCTCTAGCATGCCTTGAACTTGGAAGTAAAACCAGGATAACTATTAATAATAGACATAGGCACTAAAGTGACAACTGTCTGTTGACACTCCTGGTATGAAAAGACATTTGAAAAGGTCTTAAATTATTAACTTCAATAAAATGTTTGGGCTCTCCCCCAAGATACTCTTTCTCCTCAGAGGCATTTTATAGCAGCATATGGGTTACCCTTTCAAATCAGGCTTGTGCACCCGCCGACATGGTTCCTTTATTTTCTACTTCTAAGCACTATCAGCAGAAGGTATACATGTGTGTACGCTTGGGAGTATGGCCTCTTGCATAACACACAGGATGTTCCTCAAGATGGTGGCTTGCCTTCCGAAGTGCTTGTACACTGGAAGAGCATGATACATACCTGTGGAATGGACTCATTAAAGCAGGAAGACTCATAGATGAGTCTTCATCCAACTCACAGATGAGGGCAGGACAGCTTGGAGATCTATGGAGGTAATTTTCCCTTCGAAAACCCTCACTGGCTTCCCACTGACCCCAGGATAAGGTCTAAATTCTAAAACTCTTAGCATGATTTATGTAGCTCTTCTTTGTCTAGCTCCAACCTTTCTTTTTTAAATCTCTTCCTTTAACCCACACTGGCCTTATTTAGGAGCCCTGGTGGCACAGTGGTTAAGAGCTATGGCTACTAACCAAAAGGTCGGCAATTCAAATCCACCAGTCGCTCCTTGGAAACCCTATGCGGCAGTTCTACTCTGTCCTATAGGGTCGCTATATGAGTCAGAATCAACTCAATGGCAATGTGTTTGGTTTGACCTTATTCAAATGCCTCCATTGTGCCAAGTTCTGTCTTCCTTTTGGGATTCCATAGGTTACTTCTGGAAATCCTGGTGGCATAGTTGTTAAGTGCTACAGCTGCTAACCAAAAGGTCAGCAGTTTGAATCTACCAGGTGCTCTTCAGAAACTCTATGGGGCAGTTCTACCCTGTCCTATAGGGTCGCTGTGAGTCAGAATCTGCTCAATGGCATCGGGGTCCAGGTAGGTTACTTCCGACTGGAGCAATCACCCACTTCCCCCACTCCCTTAAGCCCAATTCCCACTCTTCCTTCAGTTTTCAGTTTATACTGTTGTTTCCCAAGAAAGAAAGACCCTCCTTATCATGCAAATGAGGAGGTTTTCCTTGTTATATAACCCTACAGGTCTCCTTGCTTTTCTGTCATGGAGTTGCCACACTTGTTTGCTGTAGTTTCTCTTACTGAACTGTAAGTTCTCTGAGGGCAGGGACTGTGTCTGCTTTGTTCACCTCTGCATGAACAAATGGCACATAAACCCTGACATAGAGTATTATTAATTATTTAAATGAATCTCCTTCCTTTAAAAATTAAATAAGAACCAACAAGATAAAATTTCCTGATAATTGGTCTTTAAAATGACTATATCCTTTTCAAGATAGAATCCCTCTCATCATCTTTTTTAATGGCAAAGAAACTAAAAGTAGAAACAAATATTTTAACATCTGGGAAATGGGTTTATGTCTAGATAACTTCTCAATGGGAGGAATTAGTACTTTCCTTCTTCATTATCACATCTTAGCTCTCAGAGGATTTTATTTGCCATAAGGTTTTGGTATTCCAGCATATTGCCATCATGACTACTACTAGAAGTTAAAAATTATAAACTGTCATAATCCACTATCAATCATCCATCTAAGCCGCACAGTCAACCAGCTGATTCATCACTTCTGGCATGAGAGGTAGCATAGTGCAGTAGGGACTTAGCAACATTTCCACTCACAAAATCAAAGTTGGAGCCAGCATCTCTGACCCTGGCCATGAATCGTCCAGTTTGGCTGCTCGGAGTAATATGTCAGTCTCCTCTTTGATCACACACTTGGAGGCTGGCTGGCCAAGCAACATTCCAAACGTTTCCAGGCATGGATAGACAAAATATTGTGTTTTGCATTCAGTTTTTTTCAATTCATGCTGTAATTCTGGGAAGCCCTGCCACATATTTTAAATGTTCTAGAGTTAAACGTGAAGGAATGTACATGTCATTATCATTACTGTACACAATGTGACAACCAGGACAGAATAGTGTGCAGACTTGCACGGATGAACTACCATCTTACTAAAGGGGCAGAAACTAATCGTGTGGGGATGGAATATGGGGGACAAAAGTGGCAATTAGTGTAGAAGGAAGTGCTCAGGAAGCTGGGATGCTGGTGGGAAACATTAGGACTTTGATTTGTTCTAAGGCAACCTCAAGCTTGGCAGGAAGCCTGACAGGCAACCGAACAACCTCTCTATCTATCTATCACTGGTCACAGGACCAGGGGAAAATGTATAAGTATCTTTAGACTAGACAACTGTTCATACAGTAGAAGTAAAGTAGGCAGACAATATGGTAAGGGGCTCAACAAAGACATGGAGTAGATAAAACAGAAAATACCCCACTGAGCATATGTACTTGAGGGAAGGTTCTATAATGAAATAATGCAAAGGGAAGGCAGGTTGGTGGAACTGGCTGTAACTGGTAGGAATAGGAGAGCCATGGATATCTGCCATACATGTGAGCAGAAGAAGCTGAAATGCCTGTATAACTTTCCTCCATCAGTGGGACTGCAGGCTCTTATGCAGGTCCTTTACGGTCAACTACTTGTGAAATAGACTCCCCGGATTGGGCTGAAATGACGTGGTACAAATTTCTGAGGATACCTGCACAATGCCCCACTGGCACCTCTGTGCCAGACCAGCTCACAACAAAGAACTTACCGTGAACTGGACAACTAAGGGTCTTTGGAGAAAGCCAACCAGTCACTGTTACGTATCGGCAAAAACCCTCCCTTGAAAGTTTTCTTTGTCTTAAATACTCAGCTGGCCATTGCCTTGTGGCCTGCAAGAATAAAAAACCTTACCAAGAAAGCCCCTGTGCTCTTCCTCTTCCCTTCTCTTTCCTTCCTGAATAATTTAGTCCAAAAGCCATTAGGTAGAGCTGAGCAAGATGAGAGTCTGCACTGGGAGTGGAAGAAGCCACAATGGCCAAGAGTGGTGTGCTGGAGCCAGAGCAGGGTGAGAAAGGCATCATGGGGGATGAATGGGGGATAACCTGGTGTCCAGTGTTGGAGCCCTAAGTGTAGTGAGAAGGGAGTTGGTATGCTTATCTCAGCACTGACCAGTAAAAAACAGTTCATGGACTGGCTTGGACCACATTTTGAGCAGCCCTTCTCTGTGGTATGATGTGTGGATCCGTGATTGCCATCATCTCCAGATGGGAAATAAAAACTCCACCAGCCACACTGTTGTCCATAATGGCAGCAACAATAATTATCACTATAAGTAACACAACTATCTATACAAAGTATTCAAGAAAGGGACCTAGCAGGCAATACGCAAGGATTAAAGACCTCCCTTTTCTTATATGGTCATATGATAAGATTGGATGAATCACCACAGATTCCAAAGAATCACTTAGTGGGGACTTAAAAGAAGGCAAACATAATCAAACATAAAATGGACAAAAATATCTTCTATGGATCAATCTGCAACACTGAGTCATAATTGTCATCGCTGAGAAGGGACCCAGCATTTAAAGCGGTTAGTAGGGCACATTCCAAAAATCAGATAGGTTTAATTTAACTATAGATACTGAGGGTCAAGGTGACTGACTGGAACCTAGACCGCACATCTGCTCACCCTGACTGGTACTGTGCCACATACAACCCCTCCCTCAGCCAAAAGAGCACCCCTTCAAATAAAAGACGATTCTCTGTAATGAACAAAAGCCAAAGCACCACCACAAGAAAGGAACTCTTTTATCCTCTGGGAAGTGGCAAACACCATGATTTCCACAGCATCTGTCTGACAGGAGACACTTGACTTACCTGGAGCAGTTCTGTAGCACGTTGTTCTGGAGGGCAGGGATGGAGCGTTCTTTGCCCTGGGGCTCTGCGTGATCTGCAAGACTTGTCTCTGCCTCTTCAGCTCCTCTTCCCTTTCCTGGGCTGCTCGGATCTCTTCTTCGATCATGGACAAAGTCCGCTGTTTCCTTGACCTCAGCTTGAAGGGTCCAACCATCACATCTGATTCTTGAGTGGCCAGAAGGGAGGCTGTGCTTCTCAGCTCAGCTGCCTCTGAATATTTGCTAAAGTAGCCCCCTTCAGGCCTGGTCTCCTCCATGTTTACTGGGCCACTGGGCTGCACAGCAGGCAGTGGCTGGGAGGGCCCCCTTTCCCTGAGCGCTCTGTCTTCAGCAGGCAGAATCTTTGGTAAGACATCTCTTTTCTCTTGAACAGGAGAAGACACCTGAGGTGGCTCAAACATACTCTGAGGCTTCTCTGAGTTGGACGGCCCAGTTTCAGCTTCCTCTAGAGTGACTTCAGGTCTCTGCTGTTCTGCTCCATCCTGGCTGGTTTTAGACACAGCTTTATCCACTTGCTCGGCGATGGCTTGTTGAATGGCGTTCTGCACCAGGAGACCAGCCTGATATTCCAAGGGGTCATCGACTGACGGAGAGTCTCCCAGTGTGGAAGAAGGGGAATAGAAACCATGGTCACTAAATGACTTGGAGACACCTTCTCCCCGGCCCTCTGAGAGGTTGTCAGTTTGTGGAGTCTGGGGCAGAGAAAAATCAGCCAGTGAATTTTCCTGGAGAGCACTGGTTGTCTCGTTGGAGGCCCCACTGTCACTGATATTGTCCATGCTGAAATCATTGGACAGAGTCTCCAGGACGGTGGTATCCTGGGACCTCACTGACAATTCATCCAAACCAGAGTCAAGCTCCTCTGGGGTCAAAGAGACATTGACTGATTTTGAGAACTGATCCAAAATCCCATGGTCATCATCCTTGACCACAGTAAGGACTGCCCGAACACTTGTAAACTCTCTGTCCTCTGCCCACAGTTTAGATAAGGGCCCACGTTTAGAGGGCTCACTGTAGGGCCCTTCCTTTCCCTGAGGAGCTGCACCACCTTGGCCTCCTCCCACGGACTGGCTATCGAGGGCACAGGCGACTTTCTGCCCCTTGGTCGTCGATGCAGCACTGTCTTCTGGAGGTGCCCCGACAGAGGCCGGTCTCGAGATGGTCACTGGTTTGTCCGAGCTGATTGATCCCAGAGGCCTGTAGAAGGGCTTAATGGAGAACAGCCTGGGTGTACTCTGGCCTTTGGCCACTGTTTGCCTGGAATTCTCCATCAGCTGAAACTGTTTACGAGCAGCAGAGAAATCTATCTGCTCTGTGACGATGTCCTCCTTTGCATTTTCAGTCATGCTTGAATGTTCACGCGAGGCAGCAGGCGCCGTGCAGAGCTGCGGTGGGGGCTGCTGCTGCTGTTGCATCTGCTGCTGCTGCAGCAACTGTTCCTGCTGCGCTCTTTTCTCCTTGCGCTCCTTGTATCTTTTGTGCGACTCCAGGTGCTCCTCATCCAGCTGCTCCTCAATGGTTTTTTCCTGGGGGGGATTCCACCATTTGGCTGCAATGCCAGGATTCTTTTTCACAGCCTGGCTCCGGATTAGTTCCCTCCTTTCCTTTTCCAACTCCAGCATCTCTTCTGAAGGCCTCACTTTCCTGACACAGTATTGCTCTTTCTCACTCTCGTCATCCTCAAAGAGCTTGGAGGGCTTCTTGTCTTCTTGGAAGGCCCGCAGCTCAAACTTGGCCTCCTTCTTCAGTGTGGTGAGCGTGAACTCCCCATCTCGGGAAGAACACCGGGAGCTGGTGGAGGAGCTGGGGCTCACAGGTGCCTGCAGGCTGTCTCCCAGGGTATCTCGGAGCTGGTCAGGAGGGTGGCCATTTGCTCTTTCGCCCTCTGCCATGGTGTAGGAGTTGCTTTTACTGAGCTCAATGTGAGGAGGTGCCTGCCTGCCAGCTGCTCTCTCAGTGGGTTCTGGTTGGATGGCTGTGTGGGCAGGTGGGCTTAGGCTGTCCACCAGGATGTCTGCGCCAGGCTCCGGGGAGGATGTTCCGTTGTATGTTCCATCCACAGCAGAATCGCAGCAGTTGGCCTCCAGCACCTCGTCTAGATATTGGATCTCTCTGGCCACATCGTTATCCAGGGATTCATGATCAGTGAGGAGACCATTGTGAGGGGGTGAATAGAAAGGGGAGGGGTGGTCCATGGAATGTGGGGTCGAGGTGATTCCGGGAACACTTTTACATTCTGCAACTGAGACCTCAATTTCCATTTTTTGAGGATCTGGAGAAGGAGAGCTGGTAGCACGCTCCCGGAGGTTGGCACAACAGTTGTCTCTCTCGTTTTTTAGTTGGGTATCATCCTCAGAAAGCTGAGGAGACTTCTGGAACAAAGAGGAATCAAAAGCCAGGGTTAGACACCATATCTTTTATGGAGGTAAATACTCAGAAATTAACTCGTAACTAACTGGAAGGAAAATTAACAGCAACAAGTTCTTTTAAATAGAGATTTCCCTTCTAATAATCCCTTAAACATTTCTTTTGTTGTGGTTACTGTACCTAACCCTCTAGATTTTTCGGATTCTATTTTGTTTACTGAGTATCTACAGAACTTTCCATAAATGCTAGTCTCATTAAAATTTAAAAGTAAATTAGGACTTAAATCATCTGAAGATAATGCTCAAATATTTTTTAAAGAAGAAATAGATGATATAGCTATTGTACCGGAGTCTATGATAATATTTCATAGCAAACTACTGCAGGCTATGTAATAGGTCTATTTACGTGCCTCCAACTGTGAGAAAAAAAGGCTTTTTGCATTAACAAATCTTCTTGAAATCATATGATTCTCTGCCAGATTTAAGGCAACAATTCTGAAGACAAGAAACTTTTTTGGAAAATCTTCCCACAACAAAATACTGGAAACAGTAGATCCCTTCAGTGGCCCCTTTAAGGCTACACAGCCCCACAGACATGACTGTAATTGACCATGTGCATTATAAACACCACAACCAAAGCCACTGACTGCACAGTTCTGTTCTCTGGGACTGCATCAAAACAATACTCCTTAGTTAAGAAGTGAGGGTTGCTTTGAAAAGCTAGTGGTCAGCAGCACCTCCCCACCAGTTTCTAAAATGCTTTATATGTGATAGCTCCAATTTCTGGTTAAACAAGAAAACTATCTTCTTTATGGTCACCATTTTATAAATGCACCATCCCCCCCCCCATCAGTTATCTAGCGTATGCAATTTGGTTATTTGGCACTAGTGAGATTAATTTAAAATTCTAGAATGATATATATATAGATATAGTTGGTTTCGTTCCCCCCATACTAAAGCACTCTGGTTTGTCTCAGATAATTACAGCACCAAATTGTGAATTCCCCTCAAGGAATTCACTAACACCTTGGTCAGCTTGGTTTCCCTGTCTCGTCTATGGTGCACCCGGTATTGACATAGTACAGCGCAAACTTGGATGGACTGTGACATAATTTTTATTCATTTAAGTTTTAAACAATTTTGAAGGCTTAGAACATAATATTAAAACACCACCTTAGGATGATTCTCAGGGGATTAATTTCAAAATCCTTCTAAGGAAAGTGGAAAATTATGGATTTGTTTATACGAGATCTTGAAAAACATGGGGTTTCATTCTAGATGCTCTGCATGGCTGTCAGAATGTTGAAAATTCTCACTTGGTTATCCATGAACTGAAAGACCCCTATGGGTTTCCTCACTCTGTTTTCCACATTCCCCTTCAGACTTAAATCCATCAAATAATAGATCTTCCTTTTCTAGTAACAAAACAAACAACTCGTTGCCGTCAAGTCGATTCCGACTCATAGCAACCCTATAGGACAGAACAGAACTGCCCCATAGGGTTTCCAAGAAGGGTCTGGTGGATTCGAACTGCTGACCTTTTGGTTAGCAGCCAAGCTCTTAACCACTGCGCCACCAGGGCTCCATTTCTAGTAACAGGCAACAATAATGATTATAATATATATGTAATATATTCATTTCTTTTCTTTGTCAACACCTGGTCTCTGATGATCTTCCGATTTAGGTCTGGTCTTTGCTGAGGTCTGACACTTAACACCATCAATATTCATAGTCACTAATGTCTTTATTTTTATTTTGACCATCATTAACTCATGGTTCTGTTTCTCCCTTTTCTTAAATAATATTTTATTGTGTTTCAGTGAAGGTTTACACAACAGTTTGGGCTCCTATTCAACAATTTCTATGGAAGTTTTTCAGTGACATTGATTACACTCTTCACAGTGCATGAACATTTTCATACTTATGGTTCTTTTAATTCTAGAATGAACTAAAGAGGCAAGTCAACCAAAGAAGTTTTTATTTCCATTAAAAAACCATTAACTAAACTTTTTTTTTTTGTAAGGCAATTGTCAGTAACTTCTACTCATGTTATTAAGAATTATGGAAAATCGAATATCTGAAACTTATTGGCTGCCATTAAATTTCAAGTATAAACACCATTGCCGTCGAGTCGATTCTGACTCATAGCAGCTCTATAGAACAGAGTATAGCTGCCCTATAGGGTTTCCAAGGCTGAAATCTTTACAGAAGCATACTGCCACATCTTTCTCCCAAGGAGTGGCTGGTGAGTTCAAACCACTGACCTTTTGGTTGGTAACCGAGCACTTTAACCACTGTGCCACTACAGCTCCTAATTTCAAGTATATCTAGGTAAAAATTAGCAAACTCTATAGAAAGTTATTACTGGGAAAAACAGACCAACTAAAAGAGATACAGTGCTGCAGGGGTGAGAATCAGATGACTCGTGGCACTCCCACCCACTGTTTCATTTGGCCTATGATTTACTGCTAATATTCTTCATGATTGCAGAGCTCTTCTTCAACCCCTTTTGGCTTTTTGGAAAAAAAGTTGGAAATCGTAGGAGGCCCCGGGACTGAAATATGGTTAAAAATCACTGCCCTGCTGAACCATAAGTGACTTTAAAAGTTGTTGCCAAGAAAGGAATGAGGGCACTGTAACCTTAAAGGAAGCTGAAAGGCAAATAATTAATTACATGGTTCATTTATTCATTCATTCATTCATTAAACACACAGGAAGCTTACTCTGCAGGGCCATAATGAAATTAGCAGCAACAATAAGCTACAGGAGACAGTAGATATACTCTTTTCTTAACACAAATTGAATTTCCCACACTTTCTAGGAAGCTGTAAGTCTATTTTAGAATTTACTTAGACTGGGTCAAGAGAAGTGAGAAACTTGCCTATATTTGTCTCTTGTTGCTAAACACAAAGATAGGAGGGACAGGGCCTAACTCCACAGTCTTCCCAGGAACACTTTTTTGCTCCTCCCACCAGCATTGTCCCCTTCTCCTGAATGTTTGCGTTCAAGTATTTGACGACAGAAGAGCCGATGTCCTGCCAGCTTTTTCTTTTTAAACTCAAAAATTATGTCAACTCTTCCCGAGGCATACTTCCTGAACTAGAAACAATTGTTCCTATACAATACTTGAAAAATCTGAGAATAGCATTTGACAGTACATTTTTGCATTATGTCAAAAAAAAAAATGCCTTTAGCTTTGAGTCAGAAATAATAGAAAGCCTCATGAGTTGTGTCCATCAAACTGAAACCTTAAAAATGCTAATTACTGGTTAAAAGTCAAAGTGTGGGGTCTCAGTGTAATTTGAGATGCTTTCAGCATTAAAAAAGTATCTAGAAACTGGAGGGCGTAAACAGGAAAGAGACTCTCCTTTCTCTTAGTTACATGGGGCTTACTTTCTATAATTTCAGAAACTTCTTCCTGACACCCAACTCTATCTACTGCGGCAAGCAGCAGCTCTAAACTCTAATCAGAGAAGTACTTAAAGACATAAACAGCTCTGCATTACTGAGTCACAATCATGCATCAGAGGCTCTGAGTTTGTGTAGTTAGGCAACAATCATAACAAAAGAACAAATTCCTGAGGTCTACTCTCAGTAGAAGAGGCCCTGGTGGCACAGTGGTTAAAGTGCTCAACTACTAACCAAGAGGTTGGCAGTTCGAACCCAACAGCCGCTCCGTAGGAGAAAGATGTGGCAGTCTGTTGTAAAGATTTACAACCTTGGAAACTCTATGGGGCAGCTCTACTCTGTCCTATAGGGTTGCTATGAGTCAGAACCAACTCGACAGCAATGGGTTTTTTGGTTTTTTACTCTCAGTAGAAAGAATTTACCTTAATGCAAGATGGCCTGATGTGATCAAAGCCACCAGTAACTACAACAGGTAAGTGGAAATCCCACATGTCCGGATTTGGCAGGAGTCTGGGCTTTTTATCATTAAATGGTATCTTGTTTTAAACCAACAAATGCTTGTTGCTCCCTTTGAACATGCAAGTTTGAAGATAAGAAAGGCCAGAATTTTCTCCATGTTTCCAACAAGGTGAACCTGATTCCAGATTCAGATAAAGTGCATTCATTAAATTGTCCGGAAAGTTCTTTCTGAAATAAACTATGCCCCAATGCAGAAATCAGGAAGATATGAAAAAACCATCAGTCTGGGTTCTCAAAGGTCAGAGGAAAACTAGGGTGCTAAGGGCCCATGGGAGATGTTCTGATTACCCTCACCCACCCGCAGGTGGAACTCCACAGTATGGCCCAGGGAGTTAACAACTGCCCGCCTACCAGCTTCCCAGAATAGCTAACAGCTGGTTCGGATGTCTGCAATTTACAGTACTTCAAAATCCTTGGGTATAGACAGTATAATATAGCTGTGTGTGTCTGAAATTAGTTTAAATTACATTCCAGGGCAGACAGTCATCCTAATCGGGAATATAAACTCCGGGAGTGGTGGACCAGCATCTAATCAGAAACTCCAGCTTCATGGGTGGCTTTAGCTCTCTTCAACTCCTACTGATTCCAGAAGTTTTGCTAATTGGCATAATAAAGTTGAGAAATAGGCTTTCATTAGTGGAATTAGTGGCTTGTTAATTAGCATAATGGATGAAAATCCAATAGAAATCCGTTTTCATTGTGAAATTGGTAGTGTTCAAAATTTGTGGATTAGAGATACTCCCACTCTTTCATGAATGTTGTTGTGTGCCATAGAGTCAGTTCTGACTCATAGAGACCCTATAGGTCAGAGTAGAACTGCCCCGTAGAGTTTCCATGCCTGTAACAATGGAAAAGGCAAGTAGGTATATTTACTCAGGTTTTAAAGCTTTAGAATAAGAGGTTTAGAGAAATTGAGGGACTTTTCCCAAGATTAACCTGCTAGTTAAGTGGCAGTCAGGATTTGAAGGCCAGTTCTTCTGAATTCTATCCCACTGCCTCAAAAAGCATTCGCAACGATAGCAGGCTTCCAAAATGACACGGAATACATTAAGCAGAGTGAATAGATTTAAAGAGCACTTTCTTGGCTTTCTGGTTGAGAGTCTGTTCATCTGAATCTTACAGGTGATATGAGACACACACTTGGCTTTACAAGTCGATGACCTTTTTCCCGTCTTCATTCAGTCCCGACCAGAGACACACAGACTCCCAGGAGATAGTGTCTGCTTTCTACCTTTTGCTGTCTACCTGTCAGGCCCTCCAGCTAGAAACGGAGGTGCTGAATTCCTGCAAGGTCTGGGGTTTTCACCTTTTGGGCTTGCCTCTGATGACTTCCCAGAGGCAAGACATTAAGATCCCCATATCCT